ACTGCCGGCGCGCTGCTGCCGCTGCGTGCGGGCAGCGCGGTCACGACCGGCCCTTGCCGGCCATCCGGCGACTTCTCTCGAGCAATTCAACACCAAGAAACATGAACTGACTTGACATGATCATAAATACTGAAATTACTTAAAATCATAAAATTTTGCACAACAAGCTGAACATGGCTGTGGCGTGCGCACCGTGCGCCGCCTACGGCGTTGTGCCGCTTCTCGGCCGAACCTGACCTTCTCGGCAACAACAAACTAACTGAGCATCAAAGGACATAACATGACCAATTATTCATGAGATGTTCGAATAAACATGATAATAATAAAAGCTAACATGACATGGTACATGATGGCCTGTGGCGTGCGCTACGTGCGCTGCCCACGCTCCTCGGCCAAAGTAACAATTTAAGCATGAAAATTTTCAAACAACTCAAGCTGAATGGACATGATATTGCATAAAGTGACTGAATACGCGAAGCTTATTCGAGAGATCTCGAATAAAACATAAACATGCTCGACAAGTACTACACGCACGACCGAAAGCAATATTCGGATAAATCAAGAACATAACTTGAACACGGCTGATCTAACACGACCCTATTAACATCAACAAAAGGCAATATTAAAGTACCTCTTCTAACGCTCGACAACACTCCGCTGGTGCGGTGTCCGTGCGCGTGCGCGCGGTACTCGGCGTGCGTGCGTGCGGCTAGCTTGAGCATTTCTTACCAATTCTCTCTAACTCTCATATGTAGTAATACTTAATATATGCTGAAGAAAGATGGGAAAATCTGCCCCAATTCTAACCTATATATATATATGGCAGCCGAAGGGATGGAGATGATGAGGAGCCTTGGTGGCTTAATAAGCTCATGACACTTGCCAACATAATTAAGGCCTAAGTTTGCTTACTCATCCTTTAAGAGCCTTAGTCATCCTTAAATGAACACAATAAGGACACTTCATGCTTAAAGGGAGACAAATTTCTCTCCTAAATTTCCCACTCATTTGCTTACGGCTTTAGCAAAATAAATGGAGAAAAATTGGGTTAAGTGCTACGGCTTTAATCCCTTAAGCATGATTAATTATTCCTTAATTATCACTTTATGCTTAATTATTTATTAAGCATAATACTTAATTACCAAAATTATTCCGAACGTAAACGGGACGTCGAAAATAATTTTGGGTAATTTCGACTGAAAATTAATTAATTCCAAAAAATAATACTCGACAATATTATTATATCGGAACTAAATACATGATTTATATAATTAATATGACGGGATATTACAGAGGGCCCGAAGATTAGGAAGATCAGACCGAACAAACAAAATATTCCAGCAAAAACATGCTGAAGCGGCGCCAAATACAAAGCCGTATACACTGTCGTGGCCGCTGCCATCTATCAAAATTTAAAGTTTGAAGATTACTAATAAATATTTAGCCAATGACCATATTTATCACAACACATTTGATCAAGGGTAAATAATAATTTGCAACATGTACTATAAGTGAATTTGGGGTTTGCAACCTAAAGATTTTTTTGTACTAAATTGCAATCTTTAATACACTATATCGCAACCTCGGGCAATCGGAGGCCCATTTTCACTAGAAAAGCGAGCGTGCTACACCCACGTACTAAATTTGAGGGCAAAAATGTCATTCCATTTCTCTTTCTCTTTCCTCTTTCATCCTCTTTCTCTCACACACTCTCGCACACACAGTCATCTCGAAAGTCGAATTCCGAGGCGAGATAATTAGATCCCAACGGCGAGAATTCAAGAGGCGTGAAATTCGTGTTTTTCGATGTGATTAGAAACACAAAATCGCCGACGGCGAAAGAAAAAACACACAAAAAAGAGGCGGCGAAGCCAACCGTGAGGTCGAGGAATCGGACCAAGCTGACTTAAAATGATATTCCAACGGTGGAGAATGACGGTAAGAACGAAGGCAGCGGGAGGAAGGTGCAATTATTCTGCTTCGTCGGGGCGAAGAAGGCGGCGTTCAAGAAAGGGCCGTTGTAGAGAGTTATGTTGCTGGAAGGAAAAATAGGGGTTGTGAGGAAGAAGACGAATAGAGCAACAAAGAGAAATTTCTAACACATTTCTTGAAATTCAGATTGCTCTTTTTCAGATTTGAGGCAATTTCGACAAGTTCGTCCAGATTGAAATCGAATTTGACTGCCTGAGACTCTATTGATGACAAAGTATGGCTCCTTTTCTCAGGCGATGTGGCGGATGGCGATTCCCCTGAAGTCAAATTTGACTGCGTGAGACTCCTCCGGTGACAAAGTAGGGCTCCTTTTCCCGGGCGCTGCTATTGATGGTTGTTCCATGCGGTTCCCTTGAATTTGACTGTGTGTATGAGAGAGAGAGAGAGGATGAAAGATGAAGGAAAAAGAGATATGAAATGACATTTTTTACCATAAATTTGGTGTGTGTGTGCAACACGCTCGCTTTTCCGATGAAAATGGGCCGCTGATGGCCCAAGGTTGCGATACAGTGTATTAAAGGTTGCAATTTAGTACAAAAAATTCTTAAGGTTGCTAACTCCAAATTCGCGTATAATACAAGTTGCAAATTATTATTTACCCTTTTATCAAACTATAAATACTATATTATGATTTAAATCTTTTTACACAAATGTCTCATTTTACACGGTACAATTTCAATCCAACCCTTTCCAACACGGTAACACCATTGTAAAACCGTTTTCTTGTAATGGTTCAATTAAAAGATCATTTAATGATACTTTAAAAATTTGTATTTTTTTTTTAAAAAACCTCTTTTATTTATTATAATAC